AGGAACAGTGGATGATCAGGAGACGAGACAAACACAAAAACCCTCTATCCACTGGCAGCTAGGATCCAGGACATGAACCATGGAACAAAACTAACAGACAGGCTAACAGAAAGAAAAATAATCTGGCACTGAATGCTCAGGCTGAACTGAATATAACCAAGAGGAAACAGGTGAGGGGAATAAATGATAATTGAGGCAGGGAGGGAAAATGACAGGTGAAAGGAATGACTAATTAAGGGAGAGCAAACAGGCCACATCATGACACAAAGTCAATGAAAAATGAAGGTTTTTACCGTTTTATGCCACCAGACGGGTCTAAAACAAGAAACAACATTAAAAAAACATTAAATGAAATACCACAAACTCTGTAAGGGATGCATTTAGAATATTTTTGGTAATGAAAAACTAAATAAGGCTGTTTTTAAGTAATGTTAGCTTGTGCAGTAGTAGCCATTCAAAATTTAACCACTTTCCTTGAAGGGCTTTTGGCTGGACACCACAATTCCTATTTAAACTTCAATGTTTGTACTAAAATATTCTTTCTGTCATGATTTGTGAACATTAAGATTTAAAGAGAAGCATCATCTCCTGATCAGACCCTGTAATTCAGTGAAAAGGTGGAGTCAGAGTAAAAAAATATGCAAGAGGAGGTTCACCCCAGTGGCTGGAAGTTGGAGGGGATTAGCTGGGAGTTGCAGGGAAGTGGGCTGCCATTCGGCTGGTGTTTGGCTGGGAAGGGCTGTTTTGAATGGCTGCTACTGCTACTATTTATCTTTATGCATCAGTCAGATGAAGTAGAGATGATTGGCAGATAATTTCTTCCTCATGGATGGAAACGGGGAGTTACTCCCAACACGTCACTGTTGCTGTTTATTCCTGCAGAAGTTAACTTTCACTACTGGCATAAAATACTTCATCATAAACGTCCAGTGATAAAAGGCAAATAAAAGAAATGCTGTTGATGCTTTTTAGAGACCAGCAGCTGAAACTAGAGGGAAGGCCAGAGCTTCTTCACAGCTTGATTGATCAGACCTATTTCAGCAGGTCAGACCCAGAAGGATCCGCCTCTAACTCGTCTTTTCTCTCTGCTCCTGTAGTGGCGTTGAAAAAGCAGCCTTCCAACGTTATCAGCAGCGGCGAAGACGGCAGGACTTCAGGAAACGCAGACGGCGGGATTTCAGAGGGCGAGCTGCTGCTTCAGGTGGGTTCAGTCCTCCTTCGCTTCCTTCTAGTCTAGCATGTGTGCATGAGGCTGTGCTCTGTGCAGCAGAGTCTGTTTGTTTTAGGTCTAGTGGAGTCTCTGACCAGCAGGGCAGCCGGACAGCCTTCAGATGGAGACGCATTGATCCCAGAGGTCTGCTCCATTTTAGACACTGAACCAGGAATTATACCTAAGCAAGATCCTTAGGTTCAGATTCCTCTCAAAGTTGCTCCCTGCTCCCTCACTGCTTATCCTCCTGCAGCAGAGTGTCGCAGTGAGCCTGATATTTTTGATTTATGCCTAATTTTGAAGCGTGGTCTGCGCTATGTTATTCCCACGCCAGAGGGACAATCAGGAACTAGCTGTGGGTCTAGATAGGGGCCAAGTTTGTGCAACAACGGAGGGATATGAGGGCCGAAAAGAGCGGGGATCCAGGTGGAAAAAGGGTCGCTGCGTTTTCACGCTCCTCGCTCTTCTAGCTGGTTCAACAAGTCGTTTTCCACAATGCAAACAAAACAAGCCGGTAAGGTACCGAACAGGTAGTGTAGAGTGGATGTAGATTTGACCAATCAGAGGCCTCCTGTCTGCAGCCACCTACAGTTTTGTCGAGGTTCACCATAGTGTCTGCAGAAGGGGCGGGGCATATCTGCGTTAACTGCGACACAAACGCAGACGGCCTGGTTTCTGAGCATAAACCAGCCTTAAGGGTGATGAAGGGGTTAAATGCAGACTGAATATTAAAGCTGCTCTCTGACTGACAGCTGGTCTGTATCTGGATAAAGTTGGTCTTTTTTTTCCAAAAGTTTAAATCTACTGCTTGTTTTTAAATGTTCCCTCTTGGTTTATTTCCACTCTGATGAGTCAAACCCGATTCTGTTCTGAATCATTTCTAAATTAGTCACCTTTGCAGGCAGCTGTATCACGGCTGCAGAGTTTTTATGTTTTCTACTGAATTAAACTGAAACCTTTAGTTCTATAAAGCGGATTTAAAGAGACGGTTCTATTTATTTTTCCTTAAAATAAATCAGACCAGGAGGTTTTGGGTAAATTGGCACTAATTGAGACATAATTAAAAGCAGACGGCATGTTTTTAATTTCATTTTATCGAAGGAAAAACGTTGGTTTTTCTGGTTCCTTTTGCTCCATCCAGTAAATAATCCAGCAGCTTGTAGGCAGAGGTCTGACGCGCCTCTAATATGGAGGGTTTATAAGTGAAGAGGAGAGCGAGAGCCGACGTGTCGGGTCAGATGAGGAGCGTCTCCTGATGAAGGTTGTAAACAGTGTCTTCATCAGTGAGACGGATACAGATACGGTGTCATCGCCTCGGCAGAGACCCCTGAGGCCGGAGGAGGAGGGCGACGGAGGTGTTAGTCATCCCGTGGTGACCTCCTCCTTCTCTGCACGGCTCCTCTCTGACCTGACGTCCACTCCGCTCCTGTCTGTCAGCCTGAGGTCCAGCCTTATCTCCTCTGCTGCAGTTTGTTTTGTTTATCCGCTGCTGGCCCATTTCTCCTCTCTCATTTCAAGGCTTTTTATCCAACTGGAGGATGACTGGAGCCCAGAAAAAAAAGGAAAAAGCAGAGGGTGAATCAGAGGTTACAAACAGATTACGCTGATGCCTTTTCCACCGAATGAAAACAAAACACTCTGAGTAAGCTGATCTAAAGATGGGATTATTCCACATGCAGAGAATCGGGTTCATGTTTCCAGCACTGCCTTCATGTGCTTTACCTAATTTGGATCTTCTGACTCGCCTCCAAACACAAATAAGATCATTAGCACCACGAAGCAGAAGATGTTTTCTTCCTCTCTGCAGGCTCTGAACGGCTTCGTCCTGGTGGTGACGGCTGATGGAAACATCTTCTTCTGCTCTCATACCATCCAGGATTACCTCGGCTTCCATCAGGTATTCGCTCACCTGTGACCCAGAACCAACTTCCTCTGTGAGATCCAAACCTGGTGGCGAGGAGCCCCCGCGATGAAACAGGAAGTCTGGGTTAGATGGAGGAGAGGCTAATCTTTAGCCACTGAGATCAAACAATCAAACACATTTTCATGAAATAAATCATCAAATAAACAAAAATATGAATCGAATAAAACCCACAACAATCAACAGTCATTTGTTGTTGATCTCTCCTAACATACAGAGAGTTACCTGGATTATTCCCACATGTTAAACATCTCCGTGTTCTTCATTACCTGAATCCTAATATCCATGATGCTAATTTACCAATTAGTCACCTTTGTTTAGGGATGCTATAGCTACGTTTACATGGACACAACTAATCGGA